TTTGAAAGGTTTGATGGGACTAAAGTTTTTTTATTTTATCGTGGCCTTGCCCAGCTCCCCCCTCCCCCCTGCCCCCTGCCATGCACAGATGGGGCTCCTGACCACCAGAGAAGGGAAGGGATTGTCAGAAGTCAGTGTGTCAGCTGCAGAGCTGGGCTCTTGCTTCTGCACTGAGGCCCCAGGGCCCGGGGAGAGGGGATGACATGCCATGTAATAGGGGAAGGTCTGAGCCAGGGACCCATGCCCTGGGCAGGGTCAAGGTATCAACTCAAATGTCCTAACTGCCCCTCCCCCCTCAGGACAGAGAAACACCCAAACCAGATGCCTGGGCTCCCTGTATGTCCAGGTGAAGGTGGGGAGCAAGAGGTAGGCGTCATTCAAGATATTCCTAGTGGCCCCATCTGTGGAGGACTGATCTTTAGTAGGATCCTTGGGGGACGGGAGGTTTTGGATAGAAGACTTGCAGTTTAGGAAGATGAAATCAGTGCCCTCATAGCCTCTGTGGCCCCATTGCCTCTGCAGGCAATGACTCACTTACTCTGGTTCCCACCTTGTCCCATCCCTAGCACCCCCAAGTGTGCAAACATGCTTTCAGTGGCTTGCAGTTCCCATCCTGGCCATGAGGGGGTGCCCCAAACAGGCCGACCAGCTTCCGGTGGGGCCTCAGCAGGAGGTGCTTGCAGAGCTCCATCTAAAAGGGCACTATGGGTGCAGGCGGGCAGCTGTGTGCCTGCGGCCTCTTGAGGAAAGTGGGGAAGTCTGCCCAGCACTGGCTCTTGGGTCCCTCCTACCTGGAAGCAGCAGGGCCTGGACATAGGTCATCTGCTTTGCACCTGGCTTCCCATTTGGGGCTCTTTCTACCACGTAACCTTGGCACGGGCTGGACCATAGGTCCTGATACCCAGGAGAGGCTACTAATGTTCTCAGTGATGACGGCTAATATTTACAAGGGCCTGCCATGTGCTGAGCCCTTTAACGTGTTGTTTAATTTAACCCTCCCGCGTGCGGTAGCCCATTTCAAAGATGAGGACACTAAAGCCCAAGGCATCTCCTATCAGAGGTAGAGCCAGGATTGGGATCCAGGGTCCTGGGAGCCCCAGGCCCAGGCTCTTAATGGCCATGCTCCCCTCTTGTTCTCTGGGGGTCTGATGCCGGTTTAGCCCCTGCCTCGGTTTACCCATTTCTCCAAGGGGAATAATGACAAGCCAGGGAGGGTGTTTCAGCATAGCCCTCTCTGGCCTTCCTCTATCTCCGCATCCATCCTCACCACTCCATCCCTCTGTCCAAGTTGCCCCATTACCCGCTTGGTTTCCCCAGCCCCTTGCTGTGGTCACCAGGGGGCAAGGCCCTGTGGTCAGAGCCCTGGACATGGAATCTTCTGGGCAAGAACTGAAGTCTAAGTCTGAGCTTAGACACTGGTTTGCTGTGTGACTATAAGCTCTTCCCTTCACTGCTCCGTGGGGAGGGAGCTGTCCCCTCCTCAGGAACGTGGGGTGGAGGCCCCCTACCCTGGAGTAGTGACAGGGACTAAGTGAGGTCATGGCCAGGTCCCAGTCAGTGTGACTCTGCCAGGTCTCTGCCCCAGATCTCTGCCCGTACCCCTGAGCCCAGGGCCGCCTGCCTGGAGAACAAGGCATGCTCTCCCTGAGGATGGTGGTGGCTTTCCATGTTCATGATGACCAAGTCCCTGTGTTCTGTGTGGGATGCTGCCTGGGTCCCTGGGACCCAGGAAGAATGAAGGGGTGCACAGCAAGTCGGGGGCGGCTTCATGTTGGTCTTTCATTTAATCCTGGGCCCCAAACCCCAAGTCCCCTGCTCCAACCACCCAGCCACCCACCCGGGCAGAGTATGCTGCCCATCCCCTTTGGCAGAACAAACAGCAGGATGGGGAGCCAGCAGGGTTCTCAGCCTTCCCCGCATCACAGCGTGGGAGCGGGAGGGAGAAACTCCTGCGCAAGCTCCTTAAAGAAGCATGAAAATACAGTGAGATCATGGCTTGGGGTGGGGCCAATCCCCACGGGACTGGGAACAGCATTTGCGGAGGGGATGACAGGGCCCAGAAACTGGGGTCCGGGTTGGAGGTGGATAGGTAGAAACTGAAGTCCCCAGCCCCCGCCCACACACCCAGGCCTATCCTGGGCTCCCCCTCCTCTATTGCACTGATGTTTCTTGACTGTGTGGCTTTGGGCAACTTGCTTACCCTCTCTGAGCCTTGCTTGGCTGAAAATACGCTAATAATTCCTGATAGGGTTGTTGGGCAAGGTAAGACATTCCACAAGTTCTTTGGAAAATGTCCCATAAGGGAAGGCATTATTTTATGGAGGTATCTCCTGTCCCCTCTAGCCAGGGTCAGAGGTCACTTACTGCCTGAGGGCCCACAGCATTAATGCCCTTGCAGAATGACCTTTCCAATGAGGTAGACACCAACATCCATTAAAATCCTGGCTCGCTGTTAGGCAAAGCAGGTCATCTCTTGAGTCTCGTTTGCAAGAAGGACACCGCTGCGTTGTGGAAGGATTGTCGGGATTGGTGAGAACCAGAAAAGTCCTCTTCTGAACTCTGCCGTGTGCCAGGTCCTGTGCCGACCTCAGATGGACTCTCCAAAAGGATCTTCACAAAGACCTCACAGACATTGTGCCCATTCAAGCGAGGAAGCAGCTGAGGCCCAGAGGAGGACTTGCCTGGGGCACACAGAGGGCTGGCCAGGGGCAGCTGTCTGGGCACCCGGAGGGAAGCCTGGCTGTGCCCACCACGGCCCTGCAGGGCTCCTTGGCAGTGAGTTCACACCTCCCCCAGTGGTACGGAAGCCAGCAGTATGTGTTGGGGCCCGGGCCCCCCTTACCTTAGAGAGGAGGCCGAGGAAGGAGAAGGCCAGGAGGTGGGTCTGTGGTGTGCCTTTCATGTCACTGTGTCCCCAACGGAGCCAGCTTTGAGCCTGGGAGGCAGGACCTGTAAGTCTTTATGTTCCGGAGGCTGTGAGGTCACTCCCAGACACACACACACACACACACACACACACACACACACACGCATGCACACACGCACATTTACATGCACATTAGTCTTTGCATTCCTTGCTCCTCTCCCCATCCTCAGCCTCCCACTGATGAGCCCATTTACCTGAAGGTGAGACCGTGGAGGCCACCAAGGGGGTGCCTGCCAGTGTGTGCGAGTGTGTATAAGTGTGTGTGTGTGTGTGTGTGTGTGAAAGCCAGAGCCAATGTCAGCACTGAGAGCCTGCGACAGGCTGGCAGGGGCCTCTGTAGCTCCTCCCAGCCCACGAGGGCCTTCCCAAGCCTTGGCTGTAGCTGCTGCAGCCCTGCCCAGACCCCCTGCCCAACCCCGGGGGGCTGTGGATCCAGGAAGCGCTGGGCAGACACCCCCTTCGCAGAGCTGACCCAAGTCCTCCAAAGCGCTGTGGCCCGGTCTCTGGGCGGCTTCGGAGGGCCTGCGGTTTCTGGCAGGCGGGTTGGCAGCCAGCCACCCAGAGGCGGGTGTGACCCAGAGCAAAACTTCCCTGGCGGCCTGTTTGCTTTTGGCAACAAGGGGCCTCCCCGGGGCTGCTTCCTGGGCTCTGGCAGGCGGCCGCGGTGGATGAGCCCACACAGGCTGGACCTACTGCGTGCCCGCGCTTGCTGGGCACTACCAGCTGATCTGGAAGAACCAAGTCCATTTCCTGTAGCTCAGCCATCTCTGAGGGCCCCTCTGCAGGGACTGGATACACAATACAGACTTTGGGCCAAAGCCCCGCGCAGGAGATGACAGTGAGAAAACAGGTGGAATTTCTGTGCACCCTGAGGAGGGGTCCTTGTTGAGAGTGAGGGTGAAGGGCAGCTTTCTGAAGAAGTACCTTTTCAGAGAGCCAAGGAAAGATGGGTGGCTCAGTGGTTGAGCGTTGACCTATATGAACCAGGAGGTCAAGATTAGATTCCCGGTCAGGGCACGTGCCCAGGTTGTGGGCTCGATCCCCAGTGGGGGGCATGCAGAAGGTAGCCAATGAATGATTCTCTCTCATCATTGATGTTTCTCTCTCTCTTCCTCTCCCTTCCTCTCTGAAATCAATAAAAATATATTAAAAATAAAAGATGGGGTCAGAGAGGTCAGAATATTCCAGGCAGAGGGACCAGCACATGCATAAGCCTAATGGTCGGAGAGAGCATGATAGCATTGCCTAGTCTAGGAGCCCAAGGTGCCTGGGGTGACTGGGGCTGACTGTGAGGGGGGGACTGGGGCTGATCGTGAGGATGGGAATGGTGTAATGTGAGGAGTAAGAGACCCCAATTTAAGCCCCGGGTATTTGGGGGACACCAGTCCAGCCACTGGGGGGTTGGGGATGTAAAGACATGAGCTTTGATTGTAGACTTTGACAAAGATAATAGAGGTGATGTCAAGGAATGGCTGGGGAAGCCTTTGACCTCCCCCCCCCTCAAATCTCCACCAGTGCCCCAAACCTCAAAGGGAGGGAGCTGGACAGCAGAGGGTTCCAGAATGGGCTGCTGGTGAGGAAGAAGAGTGACTTGATATCGGTGTGAGACTGAGGGATTTTCAGCAGATGGGCGATACCCTTCTGTATGCAGCCATAAGGGAAGAAGATGATGGGGGTGGAGGATGTCAACTG